ACAAAGGGACACAGGTTTATGGTGCAAAGGACACTGGCATTAATTCTAATAATTCCTTTTTACTATCTCAGGCTATCCAGTCAAATGTGAAGAATGTGTGTGAAGGGAATGCAAAAAATTAGCTCAGTTAGCAAAATTATTCTATCACCTGCCCTTCAATCTAGAAGGACCCCTGGTATAAAACACATAGATAATGCAGGTTTGGGAAGCCCACTAGGTTCCCCAACAGTCACACTGTGTTGGCTCCCTATTATCAATGTCCTTAGTCCTCCTGACCATGTGCTTGCACAATGACATTCAGCAAAGTAAAACTGAGCCCCTGCACCTGGCCAGTGCATAAAACACTCCTTATTTAAATATTTTTCTTTTTGTCCCATGCTAACTAGTAGGGGCTAACCCAACTGTACTGAGCCCGCCTCTTGCAGTTTTTTGCCATCAATCTGTTCATCCTTTAGCATCACAGCACCCCAGATTTTCCCCTGAGTGACTTATCCCATGCCTGGGTTATCTGGTTGTACATCAGGGTATATAGACTCTTTCAGTGTGGTGAAAGGATGCTCTAAATAGGAGGTACTGTGGTAGCTCTAGGGAATTCTGGGCTGGTATCGGGAACCAGACAAGTGACCTATGTTGATTATATGAAGAGTTGCCTGGCGCCAACCCGATTCTGTTCCATTGATTGATGAAGCCCAAGCTTGCCACAATACTGTTCTTTCAGTTGTATAACCAGGGAATCTGGAGCCCAGGCACCTAACCATCTTTGCAGTGCAGACCCTAGCTTTGGCTGTTTTGTTCTTTTCCAGACAGATGAAGTAAAAGTACCAGGTTCCTCACTAGAGGGGGCCAAAATGTGGAAATCCCTTCCTGTAAAAATTTTGCATTTGCATTCCCAATCAGGATGCTAAGTCAGATATACATATATGGTGGAGCTGGAAGACAGATGGGGTGGATCCAGAGTAGGTGCACTGGCACCCCCCTCTCCCCACTTCAGTTGACATTACCATGGGTACAGCAGCTGGGGACTCTTTTTAAGTGTCCAAATTGGGTAAGAATTGTCTTCCCTCCCTTTGCCTCCATGCTGAGCAGCACATCCCTTCCCCCTTCCTTCCTTCTCCCCCACTGCCATTGCCCCCAGCTATCCTAAGGGCTGTGTGGGAGGCTGCAGAACTAATCCAGCCTATTCCATCTGGACTCCATGGTAAGCCAGGCTCAAATGGGGGCAGTGGCAGAGGTGGGTTGGTTCCCCCTCCCTACTGCATCCCCCTGGCTGCTCCCTGCCAGCCCAGGAGCCTTCCCAAGAGCAGGCCACCACTGTCTCTGGCCAAGCCTAACTCTACATGCAGCCTCACTGGAAGGAGACAGGAACAGCTCTGGAGCCTTCCTTCCCTCCCCCTGCCCTCAGGTCTGTGAACACAGTAGGGACGGTGGCAACTGTGGGCAGGGGGAGGGAGAAAATGGGAGGGAGGAGAGGGGATGTCCTGCTGTGCACAGAGGGGAAGGGTGGGGGAGGGAAGATTGTTACCTGATTAAGGAACTTTTATTAACGTGCCAGTCGCTGATCCCGCATCCTCCTTTACAAAATCCTGGATCCACCATGGAGACAGATATCAAGGCCCAGCACCCTGCCTCTCATCCTCTTTAAAACCCAGACTGAAAGGGCCTTGGCAGTTGAATTTACTGTCCGTAGGAACAGAGAAACATTAAGAAAAGAATCCCAGGTGGGCATTTTACAAAGCCAAAGGATTCCATTCCAGTCCTCCTAAGCGGAGGACTGAAATCCCTTCCCCCTTCCCAGAAAAAACCTTCAATTTAGGAGCACTGAAATTGAATGTTTTGGCTTTGTAAAATGCCCACCTGGGATACTTTTCCTAATTTTTCTCTGACTACAGACAGAAATGAGCTGACAAGGCTTTTCCAGTCTGGTTTCTAAAGAGGATGAGGGGCAGGGTGCTGGTCTGAGATATCCATCTCCCAGCTCTACCAGTAGCTGCATAGAGTAGGCCCACTTTTGGCTAGGCTGAAAGCTGAGGAAGCAGAAAATGATAATGAGAAGGACCCACTAAGCATGAACTCACTTTGATTTTCTGGATGGAAATTTTTTCTACAGAAAAATTTCAATTTTGCATAAAAGATGTTTTTTTCCATAATATTGTTCTCAAAGCAAATTCCCAGCTAGCTCTGCTTCTCAACTCACATAACCCTAGTTGTTCTCCTTCAGATTTTGCACATTGCTAAGGTGACCATAAGGAAATCCAGGACACTGTCCCAGCTGCCCTGAATCAGCAATGGTGCTGCAGGCAGTGGTAGAGGCCAGTGGGCAAGAACACGGGTACAGTCAGGTAGGGAGGCAGAGCTGCCTGGAGCACCATGCCACTCTGCCCCCCACCAGACTGCATCCTGCACCCCTGAGATTTGAGGATGCTCGTTTTAATTTTCACTGACCGTCCGGGACTGGCCTTTGAAATCCAAGACCATGCCAAGGTAAACCGGGATGTATGGTCACCCTACCCATTGCCCTACACCATCAGCTGATGGAACACCCACAAATCAACCTCTGGGAGGGTGCCACATTTCCACGGGGTTAATCCTAGCTGATATATACAGGGCTTTGTAAGGAATGGGAACATTGGGCACTGCAGAACAAAAGGTCCTGCTGATGTCCCCACAGAGTAGCATTTAGTAAACTGCTTCTTCACTTGCTCCACAACTGCCCAGTTGTCCAGTTGCATCTTCTCAATTTTCTTTTGACCCACAAAGTCACCAAGCATTAAGGGGAAACTCTCAGGAGAGGTGCATGGTCTCTTCCAATCACACCTGGCCCAGGTTACAGGCCTGACTACATACCATGTTCCCTGAAGCCCAGAGCTCCAAAAGTGTCTGGACCTGATGATTACCTCCATCTGGCCAAACAGCACTTGAGGTGGCAGATCCCTCACCCCATCCCTGCAGGCATTGCAGCTGGTTGTTGATGAGGTCACTTCCTGAACAAAGCTGTCACCGGGTCCTTGCTATCTTTTTCCCCCCCTGCACTTTAGATTTGTCCTTGAAGCATTATATAGGGGGCTGTGTTTCCTGCCCTACTTCTGCTTGCTCACTAGCTCTGTGCCAGCATCCTGCAAAATCAACTCCCCTCTCCCCCACTTCCCATTAGCTGTTCTTTGGGTAAACTGCCTCTTTCTTCACCTGGCACTTACAACAGGATGTGGGACAGGGAAATACTTGCTCCCTCAACCTGCTCTAAAGGAGGGCTACCAGGGGGACCATCCCTTCTCCAGCAAGGTGCCTACTGCCTGCCCTATCCAGCAGCATCCCTTCCCCCCTGCCCTCCTCCGTGATGCCACTCCTTGCAGAGGACAGCAGCACAGTTTTGTCCTTGCACTGGCAACTGGAAGGGACGGAGGCATTTCTGCCTGCTAGTTGATGGCTGATTTGTTTGATCTGAGAAGGGGTCTGCCCTGTTCTTTGTCTCCTCCAAGGGCAGCTGCTGTAGAGCTGCTCTGCACTTCAGTGGACAGCGACACTGCACCCCATGCTGGGGGGGGGGGCGGTGATTAGCAGTAGGGGAGGCTGCAAATAGGACAAAATCCAACTTCACTGCAGAGGGCTAGTCCCTTCCCCCTCCACCGCCAGCCTGCTAATTCAGTGCAGCTGCCCTTCAGAGAGGAGGAGGGCGTGAGTCCTGGGCTAGAGGTGCCTTCTGCCAGCCCAGCACCGCTGATCTCGGGGTGGCTCTGTGCCCCGTGGGCAGGGGGTGCTCCGAGGGGCGGCGCCGCCTGGCACACGGAGGAGCTGGGCGGCCCCGCGATGTGCCCTGGCCCGGCCCGGCCCCGCCCGAATTGGGCGAGCGAGTCCCGGGCGGCGCGTGTTTGTCCTTCCTGCGCGGGCAGCCCCGGGCCCCTGCCCTGCCCCCCGCCGGGGGCGTGGGGGGGGGCTGCAGGGACGGAGTGCGCGCCTGTGTGTGTAAGACACGCTGTAGAGACACTGTGTGTAAGAGAGACCTTGTAGGGACTCTGTGTGTGTGCGCGCGTGTGTGTAAAACCCTGGAGGGACAGTGTGTGTGTAACCCTGGGGGGGAACCCTGGAGGGTGTGTGTGTGTGAAACCCTGGAGGGACTGTGTGTGTGTGTGTGTGTAACCCTGTAGGGAGCGTGTGTGTGTGTGTGTGTGTGTGTGTGTGTGTGTGTGTGAAACCCTGGAGGGACAGCGCGTGTGTGTGTGTGTGTGTGTGTGAGTGAGACCCTGTAAGGACAGTGTGTGCGCGTGCGCGACAAAAGGTGGCTGCGGGGCAGGAGTCTCCCCGAGTTTGTTTACGGAGCAGAGCCGCCTCCGTGTGAATGCCAGCGCTACCAGGAGAAGTAAACGCAAAGTTAGCAAAAGCGCACGTCCGCGGAGCAGCCGAGTGTGACACGGAAAGCGCGGCTCGGATCTGGTTTGCCCAGGCAGAGCAAACAACATCCCCCGCCAGACCCTGCCCCTCCGCTCCCCCTGGCCACCTGCAACAGCTGCCTGGTGCCGTGCAACAGAGCCCTGCACGTACAAGGAGGCAAACACGGGGGGCGGAGAGCCCCCTTCCTAAAAAATGAAGAGGTAACCGGCTGCAAAGGCTCTCCCAGGCACGTGCTCGCAGCTGCATCCAGGAAGCCCAGCAATGCTGCTCGTGGCAAGAGCCAAGCTGTTGAATCACTCAGAGCAGATCCGGCTCACCCCAAGCCATGCTGCACGAGGGGCGGGGGCATCATCCGCGGGTCCATGCCGGTGTGGAGTAGGCTGATGGATCCGGGCCGGGAGGAGAGTGCCAGCACAGGGCCATGATGTGTGACAAAAAAAAAAAAAAAGCAAACCCGAAGCCTATTAAGTTATTCTTAGCCGTGATCGCAAGGCAGATCGCTCTGCTCCAGGATCTATTTTCCCTGCCAGTCTTCTAGCATCAGGGCTTTGGGTTGGTTTTCCTTTTCCCCCAGCCA